ATGCTGTTTGCAAGATGATAGGAATGTTGCTGGTGTAGAATAGCTTAATGGGGTAGTTGCCTTGCTGGCCGCGCACACGCTGGTACTTGACGGCGAGATCGACACGGAAACCTTGGAAATAAATAACAATCAAAAACACCAAAATTGTAGCCAGCAAAGATGTAATGTTCGGTGCATTCGAACGATAGAAAGCTTCCTTCAGTGCCACCATGTTGGTGCTCTTCGTAAACAGGCAGTGGAAGAGAGCGACCAATGCACCCTCAAACTCGGTACCCTTTCCCGTCTTTATCGTCGTAGGACTGAACGCCTAAAACACACAAACACATGCACAAACAACAGCAACAATAAACTCACCCAAAAAGTGCATGCATACAGCCTACCACTGACAATCTGCAAACACACCACATGTACAAACAACGGTCCAACACGAGACCAGAAAGACATTTCGTCGTCCCCCCCCTGCTACCGAAACGAAAACAAACAAACAAACAGACGAATATGCATATGGTGTACACCAATTACTCAATGCAAAGCTGCGTTGACGCTAACGGAGGCAGAGAGAAGAGAAATGAAGTACCTTCCACACGATTGTTTCGCAGATGTTTGTCGCAATGAAGAGAGAAATACCACTGCCCAGCCCATAGCCTTTCTGCAGAAGTTCGTCCAAGATGATGACAACAACTCCGGCGAAAAACAGCTGAAGAATAATCAGCAATGCGCTGCCTGTACACACCAAGCAAGAAGCAGCACCCTGACACCTACGTGCGGAACACAACACATCTAATTATTTCAAGTGCTCGTATTGCCTTCTCAGCCCACAAAAGTCACACCGCCGCGAAACATGAAATAGTTCTGTACAGGTTGCGTGTGCAGCCTGAAAAGAGCTGTTTCATATGTAGCGGCGGTAGTTGCACTGACATCCTCTCACTAGTTCATGTATGTATGCTTACACATACGTATTTTATGCACGTATATGTGCAACCACGATCAGCTGCTCTACGCCGGAATTACTGATTCACTTCTTTCATCTAGAAGCACGAAGAGATAGATGATGCACATACTGCTTTCTACTACGGTCTACAGAATGAGTTAAACCATGAACAAGCGAGCAGGCAGTAGAAAGCCCGCCGGTGTACATATCGCCGTCATTTTCGCTGCAACTTAAAAGGTTATAATCACATTTTAGCAAGTATTGTTGTTCTTTTTACGTGATTATTGTGCAAGAAGAAGTAATTAGAAATAAGAATTAATTACCTGCCCCGATTTCAGATATCGGCCCATACATGCCACTGATGACGTACGCCACCGCCTCCCCAATGGTGATGAGCAGCGCCAGCACTGCGCACACGAAAACGGAGCAAACAAGTGAAAACAACTCTGTAAATATAATCATGCAAACTGGTAACGAGCAGCACATGCAACAAACAACAGAAAACAGATGCAGAAACAAACAGCAACAGTGATTCAAGAGGCTTCGATGATACGCTTCGTAATCCGCACAGAAACCACAAAGGCGAAGGCAAATGCATATAGAATGCAAGGATAGACGAAGAAAACATAATCAGCATGACAGATCCACGGAAATATGCACAAATAACAATGAAGGAGGACACAGTAGCAGCACACCGAACAACGGATTGTATGTATTAGGTGGGGCGGTTATTTGCTTTCTGTATTGNGACACAGTAGCAGCACACCGAACAACGGATTGTATGTATTAGGTGGGGCGGTTATTTGCTTTCTGTATTGCCTGTAGCTCACGTTTCTGGGCTCCTTGGAAGAGGGCTCTGTCTTCTTTGAGACTTTGATCAACTTGAATGATCTTGGACCCGGCGAGCAGCTGCATCACCATTCCACTCGTGACGATTGGTGAAATACCCAACTCCATGAGCGTTCCCCTGTTGGATGCCAAGATGACGCGCATCCAGTAGAAGGGATCAGCGCTGCGGCTGGTGCGGATACCATAAAGAGGAATTTGGCAGCAAACCAAAAACACCGCCAAAGAAATCAGAGTCCACAGCACCTTCTCCCGGAATGGAACACGACGCTCTGGAGCATGCACCTCAGGCAAGATGCACATCGCTGGCTTCACCAACGAAAGAAAACGAACTGCAAACGAACAAACAAACATACAGGCACAACTCAGGGGTAAGCATGAAGTAACAATAACTGCACACAGCAAACTAAGAAGCAGCAGAATAGGGAGGGGGGGTGAAATAACAATCCCCCCAACTGGGAAGTAGTATACACAACATAAACAGCCTCTAATCGAGGAAAAACACTATACGGATGGATGCTCAAAGAAGATGGATCAATGCAGCTCCTGACGATGGTCGATGTAGAGCGTTCTTAGCATGCAGGATACGGGAAACGATATACCACTACACCGAATGGAAACGCCTCTAATAACCACAACCAAACGCACACATTTCCAACGCCATTAGCTCCAAGCAGCGTCAGAGACATNAAGAGCCTCAGCAACACTGGCAACGCATATGATTAAAAACGAAAAACAAACAATCGATCAAATGAATGGAAAATGCAACGATCGGCTGCGCGGTAGCGCTGCCGTCGGCAGCGGCGATGGTTTGCGCAGGCGGGGGGAGCGAGAAGCGGCAAATGATTTTGGATGCATATGTAGAGCAGCAGTTTAGTGAAACTAGATTTAATATTCCACTGTGAAAGGAGAGAAAGAGAAGAATGTGACTCGTTCAAGCCGAAGCAAAGCAGCTGAGGGCTCAGGACCGCCGCGGCGTTCGCATTCAACTCGGGTTTGCCCATGACGGGATGAACTTCACTTACTGCCTTTCGCCATTTTCGCTTCTTCTGAAACAGAACGTGCAGAAAATCACAACAAACAGAGGGCAAAGCACCGCGGCCAATCTCCCCGCGGGCTACCCTGTTGAACAGGAATCGCCGCGGCGATGTAACACCGCACAGAAAGAATGATCTGAAGGTTAAGAAAAGGTATTTTATTCCCCTCTTAAAGAGACATTTGTTTAATCTTCTTTCCGCGCGGACATACGCCCCAGAGAGACAACAAGACGACGGGGGGCGGAGGCGGCTGCCGCTGTTGCTGCGGTTATTAGCAGCCGCCGCCGCTCATGCAGAAACGCGCTGCCAGTCTGTCTAGAGCTCACATTCCTTCCAAGTTTTCGAGACAGTTAGTCTATCTTCAGTTTATATATAAATGATTCAAAAGACAAAACGCAATCCGCAGATACAAGCGGCAAAATTCCACCAAGTTGCCCCTGCAGGCGGCTGCTGCTCAGATATGTACGCTCTGAGCTCAGAGGTGAGTGGGTGGGTAGCCCCCATCAACCCCGGTGTTGAACTAACGCCTCTTCTTTTTGCTTGAATAGGCATCTGAAATCCTTTATTTTTAATTCCGTCTCAGCGGTTGCCTTTTGGAGTTTGCGGGTCTGCGCTGCACCAACGCCGGGCAGCGCGGCGAGATCGAAACCAGAGAAACGTGTTTCTCGTGCAGAGAGGAACTAGAAGCGTACGAATTTCTCGTTTTAATTTCTGACTGAAAATAAAGAAATAATAACGGGGAACACAGGAACGACAGATATGCACGAGGACATATACGTCGGCCAACGTCGTTTGTGCTTTTAGCGGCGGGTGGCTCCAGGCGTTGTCTAGATGAATTCTCGGAGCCATATTTCTTTACTTTATTCACAGTTACATATCTAGGGTTGACGTTTCCATGCAAACATGAGGGCTAGCCGCTACTTCTACAGCTGCAACAGCCGAAACGCAGACTGACGATGTAACGGGAGTCCTGATTAGCTCAGGACTCTCATGAGCTGCAATAAGTGTCATTAAACACTTACCTGGCCTGCAGTGTCCACAAGTAGAAATACGTGTAGCACTTCAGGTAGACAATGCTGCGGAGAAGATTACTCAGAGGGCATGTCGTGCACAGGACAGAAGCTGTAGTGCCGCAGCGTAGCATGCAGCGAACGGACGAAATTTACTTTTAAGCGGCTAGGAATGCGTCATTAATTTACTTTCAAGCAGAAAGGAATGGTCTATACGTTGCATATATGTTGGTTTGTGAAGCTCACCCCCGGGCGTTGTCTCTGTCGTCTTTGCGTACAAGAGCTATCAATTGTGTCAAACGCAGTGTTTTCGAACCGGATTGGCTTCAACGGTCTCGCGTAAGTATATTAGCTGTTTCGCTGTAGATGGACGGAACCGTGTGCTCAGTATGCAGCGAATGTAGCTGCAACTGCACGTTCACCTGTATATGACGCCTCTCCGTTGTCGGCGCTTTGAAAATGTGTTGTTGCAGCGCTTTCATGTGCTATTCGCCCTTTAAAACATTAAATTTTGGTCCACCTGCAAGTTCATCTGTATATGGTGCTCCGCTGAGATAATTGCTTTTCACTTGAGGCGGCAATACAAAAGCGGAGGCGCTGAGTGCACATTATTTTCGGATTGATTGGTAAATTGTTTCGTGCTAAATTTTCGTTCTTGTAAACCATTTTTGGTTGAAACTGATTGGAGTATTAGTTGCATATAGAGTCACGGAAAAAGGAAATAATTCCAGAATGCGTTGCTCCGGCTGACGCCACTCGCAATGAAACCCAAACTCATCCTGCGTTGTTGAACAAGCAGAAGTGAAGATGCAGAGAAAAAGATCATTTAGACGGATTGAAGCGGTAATTTTAATCTTGAGACCACAGTAGTACATGTATCCGAGTTGAAATGATAATTCTAAAGCTGAGATGAGATTAGTACATTTATACAACTTTGAATGATACTTCTACATTGAGACCACAGCAACGCAGTTAGACTTGTTGAAGTGGCTATCTTAATTTTGGGGTGGCATAAATGCATTTATACGAGCTGAAGTAATAATTTTAATATTGAAATCACAGTAATGCATTTAGGGCAACTGAAGTGACAATTGTAACATTGAAACCATAGTAGTTCTCTGCACTGAGCCACTCTTACACTTTTGCCGAAATTAAACTCAGAGTGCAGGCAACAGATAAACATGAATTTCACGTCAACGTGAGAACTGGAAGCAACCATCCAAAGTCGCCTTTGAGGTGTCGTGGCCGCCTTTTCTTCCGTCTTCTACAGTGATGAAGAGACCGAAAGCAAGAAGAGAAGATACACCAAATGCTACTGCTACTACTTATTATTTGTTGCACGTTTTCAAACCGACATCAAATTTATCTTTACTTAGGGATTTCTGGGTTTTACCGCAAATTATAAACCCCTGTAAGTGCTGGGGAAGCGAAAAGCTTTTGTAGCGAGTTTACTGGCAGCTCAGCACTTGGATAGAAACAGTACGAAATAAATTAAAGAGCAAGTGAGTCAACTGGCACAGGAAACGCACAAACGGCATATAATCAAGCCACATGTCTTCGCACCAGGTGTGTGCAACAGCACAGATGCATTATATGGAAGACTTGTGCGGTTTGTCTGCCGGCTCAAGCAAGCAAATGACTGGAGAGGAAGATAGTAACGTACAACGGCTGCCGTTATCGCATTCACATGTAGAATCGTCATTCTTCTGTTGCAGTTCACTTTAAAAAACAAGGCTATACCGGCAGATAAACAGCCCTAAATGAACCACCCCTTGCCGGCTGAAGCAGAAGCATTCGAGTTGAGCTCCTGTGTGGACGCTGACAACCGCAGTTTGCGACGAAGCGAAATGTGCACTTCCACATAACTGAACTTGTACATATTCATCTTCAGCTAGAACAAAGAACGAGAAACGCGAATAACTTGCGTTAGGTGGGTCTAGAGAGGCCTTCAAATAAAGGCTGACGAGCCCCTTCGTCCCCTTCTTCCTTTCAGTTACACTGCAGGCGCTCAGGGCCCTTGTCAATCACTCGACTAAAAAAGAGTACCAAGACCACGTTGCAATTCTTCAAGTCACAGGACGCCCAGCTCGCTTTATATCTAAAGCAAGCGGAGCACATCCTGTTCAGATTCACTTCATTCAGCAAAAATGCGAATCAGACGAGAATATGGTAACGCTGCAAGTTTCGCATTAGAGGGAATCCAAGTTGTTCTTATGGAGCGCTATGAGGGAAATCCTGCTCACAGTTTGGGCGTTTCGAGTAGGTTTTAGCCCCAACCCCTGAAACCTAAATTAAAAGTGGAGAAGAACGGTGTTTCACGAGACGGCCAGCGGTTCAGTGTGTTTCCTAGCATAATGCACATCATGAAGAATAATAAATATCAATTAAACAGATAGCATGATAGACAGAATTTGGACATTCTGCACAGGGGAGTGCCTCTGTTGCCGGTAACCTCAGCATACACCCCAAAAAACGTTCCGGCCAGCTTTTGCGAAGTTTCGTGCGCAAGGTTCTCCTCAGCGTCTTCATTTTGCGTATCTAAAGAAAGGCATTATTCACCATTCAGAAATGTTTCTGACGGTTGCATTGTTTGGTGTTTGTTTTCTGCCATTCGCTGCATTCAGTTCAAAGCTGAACACAAGAGGAACCGCGCGTGCTCTGCACCCCTTCGCGGACGGTTAGTTTAAATATCCCCTTGTAGGGTCTCAAACGTTCATTACGCGCATCGTGAGCAGATGAAGAGCAGGCGAAAGCGGCGGAGAGAGAGGGAAGCACAGCAGGTACGTACAACAACACCAGCTGGGCTACAGGCAGCTATTTNAAGCGGCGGAGAGAGAGGGAAGCACAGCAGGTACGTACAACAACACCAGCTGGGCTACAGGCAGCTATTTTATTGCATGTTGTACTGTGCACGCAACCACTGGTATCTCAGCTCGCGCACGGAGGCCCCCCTACGACGTTCCAGACCTGGTAAACTGGTGTTAAAGTTGAATCGCTGTCTCATTCTAAGTGAAGAATTCACCTGAAATGCAGGACCCCGAAGACTCAGTCGTCGCGCACAGCCTCTATGACCCCCACCTCGAACCCCAGGAAGCAGATGGGGAACTTGAGGACCCGTCAATGCTCCCCTCAACCGGCGTTGGATACGAAATAGAAAAGCGTGACCAGATCAGAGAGGGTATGAGTACAAATACAGATGCATATACGCCTGTTTATGTTCACGTGTACCTATCTATATGTATACACGGACGCGTAGAGCCATATGTATATGCATGAATATGTATGCAGCGAAGTGTCACATGCACTCATACGTACATGCGCGTGCACGCTTAGCTTTATGTGAACCTTATATATGCGTTCACATATTGACTGTATATGGCTTCAGACGAGGCGGCTACAGGCGCAACGCAACACAAACACGTAAGGCGGTGTAGCGTCTTATTGGATTGGGTAGCAGTCATGATCTACGATGATTTAGAAGGGAAAGAAGGAAGGAGCAAGACTGAATACAGGTGCTTCTATTCTCTCTCTGTCTAAACCCTCATTTTAAGATGAATTGCGCGTGCTGTTCACCTGTTCAGTAATTGGCAGTTTCCCCCCTTCTTGAAGGAAGCAGCCACATGCAATCACCGCACCTGCAGCAGCAGCAGCAGCAGAAGCAGCAAAAACTGCAACAGCAAAAGCTAGCGGCGCCGCGACTAGTGCAGCAAGGTGAGCTGCAGTATGATCTCTGCATAAAACGTCAGCAGCAAAGACGAGACTGCAGACGAAGAGAGCTTCGCTGCTGACGACGACGAGTCCCAAGCAGAGGCAGATGCGGAGGTAATGTTGTTAAATTTGATGATGTTTAAAGTTTATATTTAAGGGCTTGCAAACGACAGGCGAATGAAGAAGAGGAACTCCAAAAAGAAGAGCAAGTTGATGAACAGGAGGAAGCGGAACACAGTACGGTCTCTGCTTGTCTTCTGCTCATTTTCTTTCGTTTCTTCTTTCTTTTGATTCTCATTGCTCTCTTAATAACTTTAATACGATATTCCAAAATAAAACAAATTTCACGGACCCCATTACACCGCAGATTTGGAACAGAAGCTTCAAGAGGCAGCCGGTGAGCTGTCGTCGTCTGCGGCGACCACACACGCCATCGCTTGGGTTGATCATTTGCCTTTCCCGTCGTTCCGTCTGTTTGAAAACACAAAAAAGATAAAGATAACTAACTAAGACCGCTAAACACTCATTCACGTTTTTCTGTGTACAGGAAAGGCTCAGCCACCGCCGCCGAAGCTGCCACCTGAAGAGGCGCGAAAGCTGCTCCTCTCTGTAAGGTTAATTAATCCCGTCTGAGGTTTCCAAATATGAAAGCACATGGAACTGTTTGCTTTCGGGGCAGTACGGAGCTGGGCTCGAGGACATTATAAATCAGATGTAAGCACGGGCAACGCTGCGTAAGAAATAGCAAAATGCCACCCCACGAACGCAATACAAACGCCTGTTCTACTAGACTAAACTAAACTATTAAACTAAACAATTAAACTAAAATACATGGAAGAAACCTTAACTCCACTTGTATTCCCATTTAACTGACTTGATTTCAGCATCAGCGCACATGCTGCTGTGCCCGACTTGCTAGGGACGAAGGCGCGGAAAGACCAAGCAGAGGGAAAGAGCCCCGTGAAGCCCCCCTTGTACTCAAAACCTCGAAATATAAAGCAGCCGACTGCAGCAAGCTCAGCAGCAACGGGTCCTGTCGCATCTTCCGCAGCAGCGGGAGCCCCAGGGCCCCTTGCAAGTTTGCCTGCAGGGGGATCTACGGCGCCCCCTGCAGGATCTTTTGGGGGTTAAGCCCCAGGCTCCCTTGCTTGTAGCTGATTGTGGGTGGATAGAACTACGCTCGGCGTAGGCGCGAATTAAGTAAACCCATCAACACAGATTGGCATTCGGATCCTTCCGTGTCAACTGTAAGACGTGAGAAGAGAAAGCAACTAACGTCATTTCCATTCAGTAAAACCACATCGCCGGCTCTAGGAGCTTAGTTCGGGCAGTATAGCGAGCTGTAGATCCTAGGTGACGACAGTCCTAAGCAGCAATAGAATCAGTGTAGCTAATTTAAGAGCTCTCCTAAAGCAGCCGGCCTCCCCATTCACCTCCAGGCGTTTTTTGCACAGCAGCCAGGGGGCATGCCGCTGGCGCGGAGAGGAGGTTGCGTCTCATGGGTCTCAGTACTTCTTGTTGCACTGGTTACTGCTAGGCGTACTCAGTTTTCGCACTTCCTTGGACAGCCTTCATCTGCCTCGATCCTAATAGAAGTAAATGTAGAACCTCCACGCAGACCATGCTGCACTTGATATGCTGGTGTATGGTTGTCTTTCAAATGAAACTGAAGAGCTGTATTTGCAATTACCATCTTCATTAGATGGGGTGCCACGACGACAGCGGCTATATATAAGCAAGAGTAACACTCTTGAAGAGCACACTCCGAGTGCGGAAACTTTTGGACCTGCACAGTAATGTAGTTTTATTCTGAGATCATCAAGGGAACAGGCTAAGGCAGCATTGGGAAAACTCCGACAAGGGAAGCTATCGATATATTGCTACTGTTGAAATTATGAATTATTGTCGAGGAAAGCCTCCACAGTGGACTCGGTACCTCTGTATCAATGCTTCACAATATGGTTGCCCCCCTGGGAAGGGACACCTCGTAAATCGCTAGACGGGGGGTTCTTGAGCATCGACGAGGAAAAACTCCACTTCCATCGGCCTAACTGAGAAGGGGGAAGGTGTTTCACCGGCGCATTGAACGTCAGCCTTGATTCCAATAAGCGGCACAGAGAGAACCGGCGACAGGTGGAGAAAATAGCACTCAGAAAGCAAAGAAAAAGAGCAGAGGGGCGCATTTGCTTCTTTTGCGGCGCACAATCTCATATAATTGGAGACTTCTCGCTCAGGGAAAAAGCTGTGGGGCTGATAAGAGACTTAAAAGTCATGGTTTTGAGGTTCACATACAGGGGAACTAACAAGAGTACCAGGGAACTGTCTTGTCTACCAAGCAACGTAAGACGCAGCTACAGGGCGGGAAGAGGTGATCTCCTCACCTGAACACCCTCCCTGAGTCAACTATGTGATTATCCAACGGTGTGTTAATGCGTAGGAAGTGCGTTTACACTCGTTGCAGGATGCGACATCGATCCGACATCTGAGGCTACCTACCTTTGTAATCGTTGGCGCTGTATCAGCAATTGCTGCAATATGGCCTCGCTGATGTCAGATATGTCGAGAGGATAGGCACAACTATCTGCCCAGAATGCTGGCTGTACTCAGAAATCGACAATTTTACCATGTTACAGAGATTTTACCCTGGCACAGTTCGCAACGAGATAATAGCAAGCATGCCTTGGGCGATTGAGTGAGGGTCCCGCCTGCTGCCTGCAGAAAACTTGACTGAGGTATATGTACTCATAATGGTGACAAAGCGCACATATCAGGGCTCACAACAGCATTACACGCCCTAGAGTAAGCGGACTGAAATCAGCTTTCCGACAAGAAAGAAGCGAAGAGACACCAATCCAGTGAAGCGGTGCTGCAGGAAACGACGGAGAAATACATGACGTATGTATTTGCCAACGTTGCGTCCCGTGTAACCAATGCGGTCACTCAAGAGCGCTGGCTGCAAGGGCCTTATCAGATACCGGAGATCGGCTCCAATAGTTTATGTACAACGTCACATAATTGGAGACTTCTCGATCAGGGAAAAAACTGCGGGGCTGTTAAGAGACTTAAATGTCATGGTTTTGAGGCAGATTTGGGCGCTGGAAGGACACCGTTAGCAACGTTCGAAACGGTCGAACTGATCTCACCTCGGCAAGCCGATGACTCGAAGAAGCACCACGTAACCGCCTGCTGTTCACACCGTCCCAAGGAAAGAGAGCGGAAACAACCAGCACGTGGGAAGTGGCTCTTCAAGGTCTGATAGGGAGTAGATGAGCGTCGGAACAATCTAGACGGCAGGTATTCCATTCCTAGTTAAAATATAAGGCATGTTGAACGTGGTGGGCTGCTGTTGGAGCGGAAGCTCCCGGCGCTGCTGCGTCTCGCGCGGCGGCTCGGGATGCTGCTGCTACGGCTGCTGCTGTTCACCTCGCATATGCCTGTCCTGGCGATGATACGAGAGGGAAATTGTTAGAAGGAGCCGTATATGTAGTCGATATCGAGTCGTGTAGATGGATGAGTGCAATCAACACGCCGGTTGCCGCATCTGACCCAAATGGGGAATCATGATGCGGCTTCCACGCCGCCGCCGCAACGGTGCTTCGGCACCGGCTGAAGGCGCTGGCACTCTCTGGCAGTCACTCGAAATGTAGAGCACGTGTAAAGTAATGGCAAATAAACAGGAATGGCCGAGCCTGCAGAGTGAAACTGCTCGTATGCAGGCCCGACCATGCAAGACACACAACCAGCTGTACCTTTACCTACTGGGGCTGGGCACCACCTTTGCTGGGGCTTTCCCTGGAGCCCCATTCGGCAGCGACACGGCGCGGCGGGAGAGGAGGCCCGGCCCGGACAGTGGCATGCATACACTAGGTGTAGGCGCAGCCTCATGCAGAGCGTTTACCTGAGCGATCCTCTGAAACCGACTCAGGATCACATGTCCCTGGCCACTTTAGTCAACCTCCATTTTGCTGAAGAGCACACTGAAGTTGGAAGAGACTTTGTCTACGAAAGAAATGGGCTTTATTTTGATATAAATAAATTGACAAAATAAATTTTATTTATTTTGCAGTTGTTCGTCTTTTCAGAGATGCTTGATAGCACCTTTGTGGGGATGGGGCCCGGGCTCGCTGCTGGCCCGATGAACCATGCTGTGCTACCAAGTATAACGCTTGTTCTCTGGCCTTTATCTAGGATAGAGGCGAGCCGCAATGTAGGTAAAGACTTAAAGCAAGAGTTTCCCCAAAGCAGCTGATCTCCTTCCCCTGGTCCTGGGCGTCCTGGGCGTTGAGCTCAGAGCCTGGATGTTGCGGGGAGGAGGCAGCCAGAGATGCGGTTGCAGCGCGCCCCACTGCGGCTGGCAGTACAAGCCAGCCCCACGCGTGCACGCAAGGAAGCTNGATGCGGTTGCAGCGCGCCCCACTGCGGCTGGCAGTACAAGCCAGCCCCACGCGTGCACGCAAGGAAGCTTCACCGAAGCTTCCTTTGCTGCATGATTTACCTCTGAATGTACTTGTAGAACGTTTGCAAGCGTTTACACAAAACGTACCAAAACCAAGTGAAAGCTTCTCCGCTAACTCATGCTACACTCCCCGCAACACCCAGGCCCTGAGCTCAACGCCCAGGACGCCTAGGGCCAGCGGAAGGAGGTCAGCTGCTTTTGGGAAACTCTTGCTTTAAGTCCTTACCTACATTGCGGCTCGCCTCTGTCCTAGATAAAGGCCAGAGAACAAGCGTTATAGTCAGTGGCAGACTCACAGCAACAGCCTAACACCCAGCCCCAAGCCGGTGCCGGCTGGCGAGCTCACTGATCCTATTATGCCTCTTTTCTATCTAAAAGTGTCCCAATCCCTGAGATATTCTATAGCATTTATTCCTTTTCATGATACTAGGCCTCTAGAGGCCGCACAAGAGGTCCATTGTAGTGCCTATGCACTACAGGTGATCTGCGGTGTTTTCCCCTAGATGTGGCGCTCCCTGTCCTTCGCGCGTGTGGAAGGAGTGCGTTAGCTGCCTTTACCCGTTGAAAAAAACGATTAAACTGCATTTTTAAATTAATTAAATGTAAAGGCGGGTTGAATTGCGTTAATTTGGGGCTGGAGGACCGCGCGGCAGCCTTCCTAGGGCTCGTAGGGCTGCAGCACGGTGTAGTTCGATTCGCTCTCCCCCGCGCTGCCGGTGCATGAAATGGGTCTGGGGTCGCTGATTGTGCGTTTTGAGGCGTTGTGAAGGCAAAAAGAGGAGGACTATTGATTGAATTGACGAACTCCAGCTCCAAAACAGAAGAAAATGCCAGCTGTATGTTCATCACGCTGCTGTCTTCACCCCACTCCGCTACCGCTGCTGTCTGTATCCGGGTGTTACCTCTTATAAGGCACTCATTTTCGTGTTTTTTTCGATCGTCTTTTGCATTTCACAACCCGTTTTACCTCGGCTTGTCTCCTGAAAGGCGGGAAGAAGGCGGGCCAGCGTACTATGGCCCACGCAGTGAAGGTGCTGCTGCAGCTGTGGGGGCTGCTGGTGTTGTGCTGCTTAGTCGGGCGTGAATCGAAGGCTTTTTTTGCTCAACTTCTTTGCATTTTTCTCACTTGTGCTTTTAAGAGTTAGCTTAAGACAAATGCAGTAATAGAACGTTGCCCGTTTCCTGTATTGCGCGGTTTTGCAGCTCCCAGCGGACGATGCCCGGCCGCCGCTCCAAGGCCAGGAACAAGAGAAAGTATGTCTTAACACACCGCAAACAACTCGAGTTTGGCTCCCAGTTTGTCTTTCCTCGCTATTTGTTGATCTCTTAATGCGGGGAATGCTAGCAGCGTCGCCGCTGGGTGCCGTGGGCCGCCGTAGCCCAGGGTTTCTTGGGAATTTCAGTGTTATATAGCTGCGCAGTTGGCNTGGATTTTGCCTTTTGTTTTCTGGAAACCGGATTAGGAGCAAGCAGACTGGCGGTTGCTGTGCTGCTGTTGTTGCTGCAGCAACCGGAGGCCCCTGCCACCGGATGCAGCGTGTACGTGGGCAACCTGGCTTGGGGTGTCCGTTCGGCGGAGCTGCAGGAGCACATGAGTCAGGCGGGTGAGGTTGTGCGCGCGGACGTCTTCGAGGATTACCAGGGCAGAAGCAAAGGTTGCGGAATCGTCGTATATAAAAATGAAGAAGCAGCTCAAAGGGCCATCAAGGAACTCACTGACACCATGCTGCTGGGTAAATGCTTAACCTTCGCCGTAGTTTCTGTTGTATTTTGCAGTGTGTCTGCCCTAAGTCCGCTCGTTTGCGGCATCACTGCTGTCTCCTGTGTGTATACTGGCGAGCTGCAGTAGCCAGGGCATTCAGTATTTCTTTTGTTTGCTGATTTGCCTCCCTGCAGAACGCCCCATATTCGTCCGAGAAGACCGCGAGGAGGGAGGAGGCAGCGGCGGCAAGTTCTCTGGAGGCCGGGGGTAAGGTTTTTTTAGATCTGGGGTGTACAGACACCCGAAGCGGTGTTCGAATGCACTTAATGAAGCAGCTGGCGTGCGCCTCCCTTTCCAGGCGNGTACAGACACCCGAAGCGGTGTTCGAATGCACTTAATGAAGCAGCTGGCGTGCGCCTCCCTTTCCAGGCGTATCCTCCCCGGCTATCGCAGTACAGCAGCAGGCACAGGATTTGCTCAATTTGCTGCTGCTGCTGCAGTATTTGCGTATTGTCTGCGCGGGTTGCCCGTGTACACAGATATATTCACCTGTAGATGCACACCTCGTGCGGACACACTTATATCCATACAGATACGAACATACACTTGCGTATGTGTTTCTGTATGCATACCACTACGAATAATATATATATGTACATATATATACACGCGTGTATAATGCATGCCTAGGTTCTTTTATTTGACGCGTGTGTGTATAGACGTGGGCGTGGCCGTGGAGGCTTCTCTGGGGGCCGCGGCGGCTACCAAGGAGGCCAAGGCGGGGGCTACCAGGGTAACAATCAACAGGGAACTTCCGGCAGCAGCTACCAGGGGGGCAGCGGCGGGGGAACTGGAGGGCGTCAGGTGTTCGTGTCGAATCTGCCATGGAAGACATCTTGGCACGATCTCAAAGACCTGTTCAGGGAATGCGGTGAAGTCATCCGGTGAGTTTTTCCTCCTCGTGCATGTATGCATACATATATATATACATATTTTTTATACAATATGCGGGGTTCGGCGGTTTGGGGGCACAGCAGATCTGGCTAGTATAGCACCATAGGTCGTGCCCCAGCATGGCGGACGGTGTGTGATGATAATACGTCTGCGTGGAGTAGTAGCAAACATGATTTGAGTGGCCTGTGGACGTTTGAATTGCATACTTGGAAAATATCTGAGGAGTGGTTTGGAACCGGGGTGTACGTGGTCT